TTGAAGTCTTGTTGAACCTGTAATGAGGGCAGAGACAGAGGATATTTTTATAAATACAGTTCCTGTATAATTATGTTTATTGGTTCTTCCTTGTGTTGCAGGCTTGTGTCTTCTATTAATGCTGTTTATTCTTGTCCTTAAAAATAAAGAATTAGAGCAGCAGAACTATCTCTCCAAAGGATAAATGAAAATCAAATGACCTTGGAATTCATCAGCAGCCCTTTTGGATACCTAAGACATCTAAGACCAAAAGTGCTTGTTGGTATTAGGAAACAAACAAACAAACAAACAAACAAGCAGTTAGAGAAATTGGCTCATGGGACAATAAAGCAGCCCTTCTTGAGCCTTGCTGCAAATTTCTGAGCCACAGCTGTGCCACTGAGTCACATTCAAAGGAAGAGATGAGCTGGGGAAATATTTACACAGAGGTCCAGGATTTGGAAGGACTATACATTGTGCCTGCTTTGTAGCAGATTTTTAAAATTCGTTTTTAGGAGAAGTTAAAGAGAAGCTTCAAAGAACAGATTCCTTGTTGATTTGGAGAGCTGAAGTCTTTTCCCAGTGAATGTTGGAGTTTATCTTTAAAAAAGAAGTAAATTAAAGGTCCAAATTCACCCCTTGTGCCAGTTCTCCAAGGCAACAGAATGACACCTAGAAGGAGTTAGGGTTTAGGGTGGCAGCATGAAAGACAAAATTCTTGACAGTCTTCAGTTGTAGGCAGCAGGGTCATCACTGCTTGTCTGTGCTTCACTCCCCTTTAGAGGCCATATGAGTGGTTTTCCAGTTCCCATCATCTGCATAAAGTTCTCCCTTTGCTACACATCTCTGCCATATAATGATACTAATAGAGGACTGTGTAAACAGAGATCCAGATCCTAGGGCAGAGGTTGGAGGTTGTCACTCCTAGCTCTGCTAGAAGCTTATCTTCTAAGTTTAGACAACATATGATCTGTTTGTACTCACAGTGAGTAAAATCTTGCTCCAGAAAGAAAAGCATATGGTTAGTCAGTGTGTTTATTTCACAAGTAATTTGCTATAAATCCAAGTAGCTGATCTTTGTGAGTCAAAAGTGTCAGCGCTTAGTAGAATAAGTTCAGAGACCTACTTCAAGTATTTAGAGATCTGTGGTGGGAAAGGTGTAATGCTTACAAAGCTGAGCAATGGACTGAAGTACAAAACAATACAAATAGCCAGACAGCAATTGAGCCATGAATCTATTTTCCGGGTTTCAAGAATCATGATCCATTGCTTTGGCTTGGGAGGTTTGGGCATTTTTTTTTTCACTCTTTCAATTTCTTTGGCTTGAATGGAAGAAACAATTTCATGATCTCTCAAAGGGAGAACTTTTTTCAGATCAGATTAATTTCAAAGACAAAAAGGTACAAATATACTTGAATTTGCTACCAGTAAGCACTCACTAAGTTCAAACTATGCCCTTCCTTTCAGCTGATCTAATTTGTGCATGTGCTTTGAGATGGCAAAACTTCTGCTGAAACAAGGACTAAGAAAATACCAGAAAACCCCAACGAGAACATTGTGCAGGTGTAAGTGGATGAGAACACAGGCTGAGATTTTTAGCAGGAATATCAGTGAAATAATTGCTGAAAACCACACTAAATTTTCCAATTTGAAAAACAAAAAGCATTTTGTCACCACGTTGTGTTGATAGCTAGTTCAGCAGAAAAGGCAGTAATAATAATTTTTTTATCTGAATAAAATGATTAAGTACAGAGAAAAAGAAATAACAGCCTGTGAATATCAAAAAAACCTCACAGCTACCTTTTGAAAGGAATTTTACCTTTAAAATGTGCTAACATACTAAAGGAAAAACCAGAAAAACTGAGATGTAAATGCAGGTAGCCTCGTAATGATAAGAATATACGGCAGTTCAATCAGGTTGAATCAAACTTGTATTGAACCTTACAAAAAAGCTGTAGAGGTCAGCAAGTCAAAAACTGGACGTTCTGGGGCTTCAGGAGTGCTCAGATTTATTAATATTAATAGGTCAAAGGGTAATTCAAGTAAAAAATAATTTGTTGCCTGAAGAGCAGGGTCTCACTGTGATTATCAACAATAAAAGATGCAAGTCTTAAAATAAATTATTGTTGGGACCTTGGACCATATTCAGAAAAGGTAAATATATCAAATATTGCTGTACACATATTATTTTCAGTATCAGACATTTAAATTTGATCATAATAAAATGTTGCTTTCTCAACAGGTTCACATAGCTATCTACCCAGCCAGTCATTCCCCCTTCTCCAAAACATTGGTATTTTAGTGGAAAAAAATAAAATTAAAAGGATTTTAAAAACATTTTTCTTCCCTTTATTTCCCTTTAGCAAAACCTGATTTAAATTTATTCACATCTTGAAGGAGAGGACCACAATGAAATTTCTTGATGGTACATTTTCATGTGCCAAATATGTATCTGACACAGTCAAGCTTCCGATTTTTTTCCCCTTCTCCTTTTCTCTCCCTCAGTTTGGCCACAGAAAAAAAAGCAGAATGAGTTTCCTTTTCACTTTTAATTGTTGTTATCTACTTTCACACTCAAGTATTTAATATTCTAGGACAGTTCCACAATGTTTCTGTTGAAGTTATATTTGAGGATCATTCATTTGATTTTAGCACTTCAGAAATGATGCAGTGAAAAAATTAAATCATTAAAGTTTACGTTCTGTTAGGCACTTAACTGATCTTAGTGTGTTCAGGAGATGGAGTTCCATGGAGATACATCCATTTCCCTTAATACATGGAGGGTGCCTAGGTAGCACTAAGGTAGGTATCTAAGTTACATACCTACCATGTGCTAGGACAAACCTGGGCAAAATAATAGAATCAATTAATTTATTTTTTAACATATTTCCTTATGCAAACAAATAGGGACTCAGTAGTTGTTAACGTATTTCCTCACCATCATGGCAATATCCTTACTGACCTCAAGAGGAACAGCATCATGCCATAAGTGCTCTATTTCCATCCATGCATTTGGAAAGCAAGGCTAATGTTAATTCGGTTTAACTGCCTACATCATAGCTGTAAATGCCCTTGGTAAGTTTTCATAGTCCCTAGGCTTAGAAGTCTAAAGCTGATCATCCAAGATACAATGCATGTTAACCGGTTCTGGAAAGCTACAGTGTAGACATGTCTATGAGTGTTTTTTATCTCTGACTTCCTTTACAACTAGTTGAGAAAAAGGCACATTTTCAGGGCATGATTTGTCATTACTTTGAGGTGACATGCATTGCATACTATAATTGCCTTTTTCTCTTCACTGATTATAGGGAGCAGAGAGTGGTCAATTCAGTTGTAGCCATGTAAAATGCAAAATGCCACCATTCCAGCTATTATCTGTGGAGAAAGACAGGCATTTCAAGGTGATCCTTTCTACCTGTCCTAGGCACTTGGTGTGCAGGTCAAGTAGTCACTCGTAGATACCTAATACGACCTGGATCCTCCAGCTCCAGGAGAGTCCAGGTCTCCTATTGTTTTCATGTCATATATGTAAAAACTCTGTGGCTGTCTTAGATACCCTAAAACTTTTCAAATGGTTCTAAATATGTACACATGGACAACTATATTATTTCCTACCAAAGAAAGAGATGAATTGTCCCTTGGAAGAAAATATCTGGTTCTGCTGATCTTAGAAAGAGTTTAGATGGCCAAAATAACCCTTCCTTGTAATTCCAATCCTTCTAAACTTTCTCAATAAAGTAATGTCAGAGAAACAAGAAAAGGAATGGAATAAAAGTCTTGTGGAAGTAGAAGTCAGAATGTGTCTGGAAAACGACTCTTGACTCAAAGAGACTTGAGCTCAAAGAATACCTCCAATGTTTTCTGTGTAAGGATGTGTGGTAGGTGGTAAAGTAACATTTAAAAAAATACATTAGCAAGGCCATTGCCACTTAGCTGCTGTAAACCAAGCCAATCTGTCTTACTTGTCACTTTGATTTTATTTTATTTTCTGTAAGTGGTGGATTTTGTTAGACCTCTGCACCTCAGCTGGATTTCCAAAGACAGCAAAGCTGCAGAAACAAGCTGTTGAAGAAAAGAAAGCATCACAAAATCAAGGCAACACAAAAGGTGACTCAGATTGCCTGCATCGATCCTACTGAACAGAGACCCAGGTATGGCAGGTTGCAGTGTTGTGGGACCAGAGGCTGAGAAGATAGAGTTCAGAACCCCTTGCTGTCATTTAATCTGAAGTTCACAGAGGGATCAGGGCTCTTATTGAAACTATCAAGGTTTTTTTTCATTTTAGTCCACCATGCTCTTTTCACAAGAGACACCATGGCTGCTGCTTGAATGGTCAGGACAGATTCCCAAAAGGTTCTGGTCTCATTCCAGTGCAGCTTTATTGTACATTCCCACATGGGGATGAACATCCCCCAACACCAAATGGCTCATTTATCTCATGACTCAAGAATTCCTCTTTTGCCAGGTTTCCATATTGTTTTCTCAATGGTGAGTAGATCAGGTATTTCCGATGGATCAGAGGAAGCCCTTCTTTCGATCTATCCGGCATGCAAGCAAAGCCAGGATGCTGGAAATGCATGTCCCACAACTGATGAACTGGCCCTAACTGTGCTGCTGGAGAAGAAAGTGCTTCAAATTTCACGTGCCACCTCAGCCAAGTCCAGAAGTGCTTATAAAAAACAGTATTAGTGTATCATTCAGAACAATCAAATACTACGTGCACGAAAAAGTAGTTTAGAGCAACATAAATTTTTAAAAAGTGACAATTTCATCACACAATTACTGTACACTGCTGTTCTTAGGGTTGAATACTTTCCTCTCTCACGCTCTCTCTTTCTCTCTGTTTTAATCTTTCTCTTTTTTCTTTTCTTTTTTTTTTAAATTATTTTTTCTTTTTTTTTTCTTTTTTCCCCCTTTTTTTTGGATTTGGTCCACTGGAGATAAATCGCCCTCAATGATATATATATTTAAAAAAAATATCAGCAGCAAGACTCTCTTGAAATAGATTCTGTTTGATGTAGCTAGTCTGTCTTTTCTGTTTTGCCCTCTTTCACAGCAGCCTCTGAAGTTTTCCGCAGGGGGGCTTTCTCCGAGTTGGCGTGTCCTTGGCCGGATTCCGCCGCTCCTCCGTTTTTGTGCGATGTGTGCTTTTCCAAGTAGTTCAGCATTTCACTGAGAACAGTTTGGAAAGTGCTTAGGGCAGCACATATTGCAGGAGTTCCAAAACCATGAGTGATCAAACTACAAATGGGAAGGAGACAGAAAAAGAAAAAAGAAATACACACAAGCACATAAATATAAATGCACTCACATACATCGAAGGGTTTACAGTATATTCATTTTGCTATAGTGAGATTCAAGATGTGCTTCCTAAACTATTTATTACCTATGGGAGAAACAAAAAAGAAGAGAGTAGAGCAGAAGAACAGACTACATACAGCTTCAAAGGTTGGTTTTGGTAGGAGTCTCAGTTCTGAAACACTGTGGGACATATCCTGGGCTGATGCAGACTGACACAGTGGTGTTGACTTCAGAGGCCAACAGAGTGTCCATGCCCTAGGCTGTCCAGCATTGCTACTTTCCTGATCCCAGAAGATTTGACTGCCTCCTCCTCAGGGGGCATTGGAACGAAACCAATTCTGTGTGCTTTATTCACTCTCCTGGATAAGAGTCTTGGACAAGAAGACACAATTATTCTGTCTGGAAGCATGGCTGCATCTGTGCTAGGAAATGAAGCAATGCCGAGATGCAATCTCTGACCCTCGGCTATATCTGTGCTGCTACGCCCCTTGAGCAGCCAACAGGTTGGAATCTAAACTGCTTATTGAGAATAGTCCCTGGCCAATGCTAATGTTCAAATAATGCCCTGGAAATGTTTCACACAGAGCTAGTTCAGCCAAGCTAAATTCATCGACCATCCTAACCAATTAATAGTAAAAATAGCTAAGTTCCAACAACACTGCCCTGGTGCAGTTGAATTTATTGGTATGGATTTACCCTGTTGTACTTTTCATCCAACTAAGTTGTTTTTTTCAAGATAACACTTAATTTTGCTTGCTTTTTTGTTGGATTTTGTTTTTTTGTGGTTTTTTTTCTTTTTTTTTTCTGCATTGCAAAGTAGTTGAATTTCAGTGGTGCTCCTCACATCCTGAGAGATGAAACCTGTGGGAAACTTACACATTGCTGGATCTGCAGGTGAAAGCCAATACTCAAAACATCTAAAGTGACTAGGCAGATAATGTGTGCAGTGAAATGCTTCTCCAAACTGAGATAAGATTAATGCACTATAGCTCTGCCTGGCAACTGCATTAATATACTCCATAATTTGTCTTATTCTTTCCAGCAACTCTAGAAAAAAGTGAAAAAATAGGGGCCAAGGTAGAAGATGTTATACAGGACATAGAGAATCACCAGGATGCTGGAATTATTAAAAACGAAACAAAACAAAACAAAATCAACCAAACAAAAAATACAACCAAAACATGGGAAAGGCTCTGAGATATCTTTTAGGGTGATCTTTCTGTTTGCTGGAGATGACAACCTTGTTTGCTAGTAAAACCAGCATCCTAAGGATGATACCAAACTTATGAGAGTCCTAATCAAAAATAAGAGCTCAGTTTGGAAATATTTCTCAATTTCAGATTGAGAGTGGCCCAGTCTTTTATAAAAGGTCTCTCAGAGGCTATTAACAAATAACTCACTTTTAGAATGTTTATCCATCAGTCTCCAGGCACATTTCAAAGCAGGAATTGATGTTTATCTCCAGTTAGTAATGAGAGGAAAATTATAATTAAATATTTACAAGGACTGTTTTGCAAACATCAATTAATAATGTCATATGGTTCTTCAAGTATTGAGTCTTGAAGTTTGAACTTGTAGTAATATCTGGATTTTTTTAAATTTAGCATTAAAAAGAGGTTAACGTATCTCACTTTATTTATTTTTAGAAATGACTGTCATACCAGGAATATAAAAATCACCAACATCAGCATAAGTCATGTTTTTAATAGCAGTAAAAACAAGATCAGCAGTAGCATATAGATAAGGGTACTTTTAGCCCTTTCAAGTCGTTTTAGGAGTCAGCTGATTTCAAGAATTTGTGTTGCATTTGTCATCATTTCCAGCCTTCGTAAGTCCAGAGAAATGAAAATGTGATGGAGCTTACAATAACAGAAAGTAAGAAAAAGGAAATCCAAATGTATCACTACTAGTTACAATAGCTCATGATTTTATACTGTTTGTGTGAACTTCTGGGTCTTGATTTAGAGAACTTACTATACTGAGAAATAGATAAAGTTATTTATGATCTTGTATGCAAAAGAATACAATTTATCTATTTTAAAAGTTGGCAATATCTGCAGGCATTCATTTCCAGTAGTTGAAAATAGTAAGCTTAACAAATAATTGAAGAGAAAATACATCTTCTGGCCTCCTCTTTTTGAACCTTTCAGCTCCTGATCAAACAGAATAATATCCTGTTCATATGACAGCTCAATATACTCTTAAGAGCAAAGTGGCAACACTAGAGTGAAAAATTACAAAGATTGGCTCAGAAATTATCTATAGGGCTAAGAACAAGGACAGAAAACTTTACTTTTCAAATGCTGAACAAGACTGTAGAGAACACCAGAATGGGACAAAGTCTGATGATATTCAGGTACATAAACATAGGTGCCTACTAGTAGGTGTATAAATCAACAGGACCTAAACTCCCACTACAATTGAAGAGGACTTAATGTAATTTCCTACGTTTAAGAGTCTACAGTGATTTGAGATGTCCTATTGAATCTGAGACATCTGCATAGAGTTGCTGGATATGATATAGGACTTCAGTCCACCTTGTTTCTAGATGTTTTGATGTTGGTTACCCTTATGATACTAGATGCCAAAATTTAGGTGACTTTATTCGGTACAGAGAAGTCAGGAGAATTATTTAAGACATGAAATAGACCTCCTTTATGGTGAGATACACCAGTCTTCTGGCTACACTAAGTGCTCCATCAAGTTGAATAAATAAGTGTGTTCAGTACTGTCTGAGATGTCCTATGACATCTGCATCAGGTGAACACGTAATGCAGAGGGCTTACAGCAGAGCAGCACTCTTTTAAAGCAGCAATGGACAGATGACATACCTAATAGTATCTAAAAAGATGGTGCATGGTACTGTTTACACAGCTATATCTTGTCCAAGATCTTCACTGACTACATAGGAAGCTTAGACATGCAGCTTACATTGAAACACCTAGATACGGGTATTTTATCCTGAGAAGAATCTTAAACGTCTGGTCTGAAAACTAGTGTTCATAAGAAAAAGAATTTGTGAGGTGAGTTAGGGTTCTATCTCCTTTACAGTTTAGCCTCTTAAGTACCGCTAATCCTCAAATATGACAGTGTTTTTCAAGATAGCATTGTATTTCTTATTAAAAAGCCAACACTTTTTTAGTGAAATAGTGCTGCAGTCTCTCATAGTAATTCTACTTTCAGTTCCTGAAGAATATATTCTTTTCCACAGATGGGGATATGCAGAGCCTATTAATTTTCCCATTAATCTTATTGAGAAAAAATATTTTATGGAAAATTTCTGACCAGTTCTCCTTGTCATGCTCCTGTGAGGGTATATTTTTTTAGCCTCGCTTTATATAATGATTATAAAAAGACCAAGAGAGATCTTCTACTTCACCTTACAGTTTTATCAGTAATTCCCCTTGCTCTAATTCTGGTGAACTTTATTTCTCTTCAAGTGAAAGTCTTTGAAAAATCTGAAAAAAATTCAATTATTTCCCTTTGCTGATGAAAGTAAGTTTAAAGTTAGGGAGAAAATCTGATTTTACATTTAAATCAGACTTGACAGACAGAAGATTAATGGCAAAGCATTCAAATGTATTTCCTGAAAGTCACATTTAGTTGCCTGATTTTTCAGACTAATTGAGCTCCCACTGAAGTTAGTTCACTTTTGGTATAGTTCACACCTATGAAACAAGTTGCTTTCATTGTAATACTTTCATTTGGACTTAAAATAATAAATAATGGAGTCTTCTGGGTGTTCTCAGCTTTGTAGTACATCTCATTGCAACTCCTATAAAATAGTAATGTTATTGTTCTAAGAGATAAGGCTAAAATCCCAGGTTTTAATACTGTGCATGAAGAGCTGGAGAAAGAAGGCAATGAATATCAGGCCAATATATTATAAATCCTTATGCTTAAGGACATCCAGGCCTGTCTGCAATTCCACCCAGTACTATGATGCAATTATGTCTACTCATGTTTTAATGATGGCGTTACTTAAAAGTGAAAAGTGTGCCTGAAGGCTTGGACTCTCATTTGGCAACTACCTCAAGGACTCCTCCATACCTCAGGCTGGTGAAATTCCGACATGCAGCAAAAGAAACAGATTCCCTCTCTGTGGGGGGGAAATAGGTCATCTGCACTGAATGTTTACACCCTCGTTTAAAATAAATACTTTAAAACAATAATAATGGAGAAAAAGCAAGCTCGAACTTATTGCTTGGACTTTCGCAGAACATGAAACCCACTTCATGATTATCCAAATTTAACAACACATGGCAGATGATAAATAATAAGATCTGATACGTCTTTTGATGGCTGTAAAGGAAGTGGAAAGAGCTTAGAATCTCTTAACTGATACAAGTAACATCCTAAGTTAGACGTGCTTGTACTGACTTTGAGGTGCTTCTGGTGATTTCAAGATCTGTCCTGTGAAGGTTGCCTAGATAATTGAATTGTGATAACTTTACTTCAGAAGGTTAGTAGGCCTAACCATGGCACAAATTATACTGAAAGTCAAGGTGAACATTGGAAGATGACCAGTATATCTGACAAGGATAGGTAGTCTATATGATTAGAGTGGCAAAAAGCATATACAAAGGTTGCCTTGTAAAGTAGACTTTCAGGCTTGTTTCCTGTTCATAACTGAACAAGAGTATTAAGGACATGTTTTCCTAAGCAGATAGGAAAACCTTTTACCTTGTGTAAAAGCAATGGAGTAGCTAAGAAGAGAGAGCTAATGGTGATGCCCCATATTTCCAAAATATTTTATTTCAGCTCTATAATTTAGACCTTAGGATTGATTTTCCACACTAGAAGAGCTGCCTGGAGAACATATCTGAAACATCCAAGACCATGGCTATGGTTAAGCCACAAGACTGTGGTGCTCACAGCACTCACAGAAGCCCTTGGGTGCTGGCCAAGAAATGTTTCCAGCATGACATATTGTATTGTCC